GGCGTTCGGGGGCCAGCCGGCGACCGCCGGGGACGAGGCGCCGGTGGACAAGGAAGAGGACTGCGAGTGCGTGCCATATTACCAGTGCGTCAACGGCACCATCGTCAAGAACGGCGTCGGCCTCATCGACATCAGGTGGGCAGACGCAACGGAACGGCGTCGCAATGCACGGGCGGTGGAATTTCGCTTTTCGCGGAGTTTGGTAGACAGGGAGTTCAGGGAATACGGAATGAAAGGCTTGAATATATAGGTTTGGATGTTAGTTTGGTGTGATGTGGAGGTCGCTTTAAACAGTTTGAATAGAGTATTAAATTTTGTTTATTTTGAGTATTAAATTTTGTTTATTTTGAGTATTAAATTTTGTTTATTTTGAGTATTAAATTTTGTATCGAAAATCAAGAGTAAAAATTGCAAACTTATATTTTTATGAAAATTGCTTTGTAGTTGGAATTAAAACTTATAATATTTAATGAGTGCCCGTTGCTTTCAAATGTAGTACTAACATCATTTGTAAGCTAATAGTTATAGAGTTTATGCTTCAAATTATTAATTTTACTTACATAGCCTGAGAGCTTAGAGCGAAAAAAAATTACATGCAAAACGGTGAAATTGTGTAAAAGTAGCATTGAAGGTGGTTGGTTACTCATAGAGAAAAATTGGTTAAATGGTAAACGAATACGAAATAACTACCAAGTTATATTTTTAATTAGATCTCAAGAACAGGGTGATGAAAAAATCGTTAAATTCTCCCACACACAAATGAAATTTTGAAAATGATATTTTGCCAAAGAATCGGTAGTCAAATTTCCGGGTTCGAGCCTAAAAGATGGCCCTCCAAAATCTAAAATGAGAGGGAATGCTTGATACTGGCAATTTTGGCCTATCAACAAACTTGTACCTTCTAGTGGCTAATTTTATAAGAATTTCATACAAACAATTTTAAGAGTAGGTGAAAAAAGTAAATCTTGCTTCATGGGATAAGGGGAGAGCGAGAAAAAAATAGAATTTGTATTACGTCTGTGAATTAAAAGAAATGGATTGAAATAAACTCGCATACCCATGCGAATTCGTTTGTTAATTTCTCTTCAGAGAAATGTAGGCCTGTTTCACTAAGAGCACGCAAATTTGATTATTAATAAACTAATTGTGTAGATGCTAATCAAATTTTCTTCGTGTAGAACCCGTGAAACTTCGGAAAGCAATTGTAAGAGATTCGCTTGTGGTTCATGACGTTTGTGCTTCATAGAATGGAATGTCTGCGAAATATCGATGTGAATGTTAAACGCTGCGTTTTCCGGGTTATTCGCTAAACCGTCATTTGTTAATCCTAAATTGCACACATTATTGGTGATATAATTCTTTGGGAGCAAAAATTGAAAACAAGTTCAGTTAGTAATGCAGTCTGACCCCTCAAGAAACTTTTGAAGTCAAATCTTAATATTGACATGTAGATAAAAGCGTTTTTAGAACAACTTTGTTACATTAAACAGGCACATAATTTCCATAAACGTTATAAAATGGAAAATTAAAATAGTAATTTAGGTTACTTGCTTATATATTTTTGTCTAGTTAAAAGCCCATTCCCGGCGACATGATATCAATAAAACGAGGAAATCTGTGTTTTCAGTTGGAGTGTTTGATGGTGACCTTTCTGAAATTCCGACTTTCGAAATAACCCTTGCACTTAGCGTGGGGGGAATGCTCTTTCCAACTCGAGTCAAAGCCTGTCGACGCTCAGCCGTGTCGTCTTTTCCTCCCCAAGATAACACCAAAGCCACAAAATATTAACGGTGCTCTCCTCCAGACTCGGTTTCATAGGCACAGCTCCGTGAAATAAACGCTGACGGGACCGAAGCATCTTGGGACCAAGGAATCGATCTGTTAGAAGACTTTTTTCTGCTTTTTTTCGCGTGTAGACCAACTTGGATCACGCGTGCATTCTGCTTCAGCAGGTGCAAGTATCTTTCTGGGGAGAGGGGTGCGTTTAAACTGAATACTGATTTTTGTCCCCCAAGGTTGATAGTCCTGGGGATATGGCCGATGAGATGATGATGATGATGATGATGATGATGACAATGATAGTGAGAGATGAAAGGACGTCACACAGATCTAGACATACAGAAATACATCCATGCCCGATGCGGGAGTCTTCTAGTCCGAGATCGTTTCGGCACTACTGCTCTAACGATCACGACCATCTGAGCAGCCGAACGACGCACACTAGATGTAGACTATTCACAAAGATTGCCGTTCAAAATGAATTCCACCGTTCGAAACCCTGCATCTGCAGCCTCGCTCGGAACCAACGCTTTCGATCCCGACGCCGCTTTCGATCCACACTAGATCGATCCTAAAGCACGACCCACACTAGATCGATCCTAAAGCACGACCCACACTAGATCGATCCTAAAGCACGACCCACACTACATGTAGACGATACACAAAGATAGCCGTTCAAAATGAATTCCACCGTTCGCAACCCTGCATCCGCAGCCTCGCTCGGAACGACCGCTTTCGATCTCGGGTCCAAGGCAGTCGACGCTCTGTCGCAGGAGACCGCCCGACGGCCCCTGCGAGAACTACCTGGACGTGTGCTGCGCGCCGCCCGACCGCCTGCCCGCGCCGTCCAAAGCGCCGCCCACTTCCACGCCGTCGTACAACAACGGCGGCGGCGGCGGTGGCGGCTCCACGCCCGGCCACCCGGGCGAGGGCACGACGGCCGGCACGCCCGTGCGCGTGCGCGAGGGCGGCTGCGGGCAGCGCAACGCCGACGGCGTGGGCTTCCGCATCGTGGGCGACGAGAACGGCGAGGCGCAGTTCGGCGAGTTCCCCTGGATGGTGGCCGTGCTGCACGAGGAGGTGGTGGGCGAGAACGCGGACGAGAAGCTCAACGTGTACAAGTGCGGCGGGTCGCTCATCCATCCGCAGGTCGTGCTCACCGCCGGACACTGCGTCTACGAGTGAGTATAGAAAGGTTACTTTGGTGAGACCGCTACTCGTATAAGAAGGGACCGCGTTGCCAGCCCGGGTCAACGTGTACCGCTGGGCCCTGCGTATACGAGTGAGTATAGAAAGGTTGCTTTGGTGAGACCGTTACTCGTATAAGAAGGGACCGCGTTGGCAGGCCGAGCATGGCCACATGCTCGGGTCAACGTGTACAAGTGCGGGGGGTTGCTCATCCACCCGCAGGTCGTGCTCACCGCCGGACACTGCGTCTACGAGTGAGTATAGAAAGGTTGCTTTGGTGAGACCGCTACTCGTATAAGAACCCCAACCAACCCCAATCAATCTAAAACGATACATAAAAGATTTTCGTAAATTGGCTGTGAAAGTACAGAAAAGACATAAGAAACACATTTCTGTTTTTTGAAACCTAAGACTTACAAGCACGATATGTTATACGAATTTGTGTAATAGAGATAAATGTCAAATAATAGTAGCAGTTTTTTCTTCTATTTAACTTCAGAATTTTCCAAAATATCTTTCAAAATCTTTTCATATTTACCGCATTTGGTCTAAGATGGAATGTTTCAGTAAAGAAACTATAGAATAAATCGTGCATTTGAGGAAATGCATTCATATTTTGGTAACAGAAAGAAACTGATAAATGAAATCATCATTCACCTATGTCAGTAGTGACAATATGGTAATATAAAATACTCTGATCTCCCGCTGTCCCAGTACCACTACATGGCCCCGTTGTACTTAGGAATCTATATGCTGAATCAGCAAATAGTAGACTTCTTAATCCGCGCTACTTTAAATGATTACCGAACTCTGTTTTTTTTGTGCATACAATTTTACCAATGTTTCTGATTGTTTTGCGTGGGTCTATCTGCGTCTCTGCCTCTCTGTATCTGTCCCTCCCGGGAGATATTTCACAATCGCAGGGGTAGAAGACGTCTTAATAATCCGAGAGCGCCATGGCGTAAAGTGCCCTGATCAGGGCCCATTAGTTTACATTAAATCGTCAACGCGCGTCTATGTGCGCAGGTATATGTACATTCCCACCGTAATAATCCTATGTTCTTCCCGGAAGTGCAAGCAATAAGTTGCCAAATTTTTATCGCAATCGGATGAACGGTGCGGCATCGCATTAAGCACGAACCAAAAACAAACATTCTTTTATATACTAGCTTTTGTCCATTATTCGTGTATTTTTTCTTCTACTGTATAAATATAAAATATTGTGATCTCCCGCTGTCCCAGTACTACTAAATGGCCCCGTTGTAGTTCAGGAATCTCTATTTTTATGGATGCTGAATGAGCAAATCGTAGACTTCTTAATCCGCGCTACTTCAAATGATAACCGAACTCTCTACTATGTTTGTTTGTTGTTGTTTTTTTTGTAAAATTGTATGCACAATGTTTCTGATTTCTTTTCTCTCTGCGACTCTGTCTCTCTCTGTATCTGTCCCTCCCGGGAGATATTTCTCAATCGCAGGGGTAGAAGACGTCTTAATAATCCGAGAGCGCCATGGCGTAATGAACCCTGATCAGAACCCTTGAGTCTACATAAAATCGTCAACGCGCGTCTATGTCCCCAGGTATATGCACATTCCCATCGTAATAAGCCTATATTCTTCCCGGAAGTGCAAGCAAGAAGTTGCCAAATTTTTATGGCAATCGGGTGAACGGTGCGGCAGCGCATTAAGCACGAACGAACGAACAAACAAACAAACATTCTTATATATAAAAGACAATGTTTGTTGTGTATGTATGTTTTATATATATATAATAAATATATATATATATAATATATATGTATAATATATAACATAATAAAGATTTTGTCCATTATTCGTGTCTTGTATCTGCTCGTGTGAGACTGGAACTGCACTTGCGCAGCTCGGCGGAGGGGCTGAAGGTGCGCGCGGGCGAGTGGGACACGCAGACCAAGAACGAGGTGCTGCCACACCAGGACCGCGTGGTGGCGCGCGTCGCCGTGCACCCGGACTTCAAGCACGACTCGCTCTACAACGACGTGGCGCTGCTCTTCCTCGAGCACCCCGTCGAGCTGGCCGAGAACGTGGACGTGGTGTGCCTGCCGCAGCCCGGCCACGCCGTGGAGCACGGCAACTGCCTCGCCTCCGGCTGGGGCAAAGACGTCTTCGGTGAGCACAATCAATTTTTTAGAAAAGAATAATTAGAAAATGCTATTTTGGATTTATTTTTTAAATACATAAGAATTGAATTAAAAAAATACACAAGAATTGAATTAAAAAATACACAAGAATTGAATTAAAAAATACACAAGAATTGAATTAAAAAAATAAATAAGAATTGAATTAAAAAAATAAATAAGAATTGAATTAAAAAATAAATAAATAAGAATTGAATTAAAAAATAAATAAATAAGAAGTGAATTAAAAAATAAATAAATAAGAAGTGAATTAAAAAATAAATAAATAAATAAATAAGAAGTGAATTGAATTAAATACAATTTTTGTAGATTTTGTATTTTATTAGAAACTAGAAATGAATTAGAAGAACGATAAAATAATTTTATAGATTTTTATACATTCTAGGAACTAGAGAAGTACAAGTACAAAATTAGTTTTGTATATTTTTTCTTAGGAACTAGAAAAGAATTTGAAGAATTAAATCTAAAAAATAATAATTTTTGTTTTCTGGAAACTAAAGAAGTAGTTTTTTTTCGGTGTTACTATTTAGAAGTAACACTCAAACTCTTAATAATGAAAATCTGTTTTTGATTTCAATTCATAAAATAATTTTGGGGTGCATTGTTTGAAAAAATTATTTCGAATTCGGTTTGTACACATTTTGAAACTGAACATACGTTTACGCCTTATTAAAACTTTAATTTATTAACATGAAATTAATTAAACAAAATATCAGGCTAAGATTTCTTAAATGTACAATTTTTGGCGCATGGTGTTGTCGAGTTAAAAAACAAAGTAGCTTCTGTTTTGTTTTAAGCATCAGATGAAGCAAAATAGGTTTTCTTGAGATTCTTCAAAAATCTCCGAAATGTGACTTCTATTGTTTACTCAAGTGGTAACGTCTCGAAACTTGAATCCACCATAACAGCCTGCATGCAGTACCCGTTAAATCAATTTATTTTATGAAAAAAAATTCTTAGAATTGAAACTATTTTGAAACGTAGCATCGGTTTCTATTTAAATATCATGCCTTGTTTAGAAAAATGTCTAACCTGGAAATCATTAGAAATTTCATACCTTTTTCTCCAATAGGAAAGGAATTTCAGATGGTAAACTACACTTTTGCCAGGTGTTCTTTCTCAAATGGTCTGAGTCTAGGTTTAATGACCTAAATCTTTGTTAATGTAAATAACTAAATTATTAACAACGCAAGAAATGAACTAAATATTCCCTGTGCACCTGAAAGGAAAATAAACTGAAAACAGAGTCGGTATATGATTAAAACTCAATTTATGACTGGTGAGGGCATTAGTTTAAAATTACAGGTTTACAAAATTACAAGTTTCAAATGTTCGAAAGTCATTATGATAGAACACCAACGCTCTTAGCACTAGACATAATCGGTGGCATATTTCTGTAAAGAAGCTTAAGTATCTGTTAAAAGTTTAATTATGGGTATCATAAAAATTCAATTTCTAAGTTAAATAGTTATGTAATCTTGTAAAAAATGAAGTGAATATATATAATTATTGTTGCATTTGAAGTTGCCAAATATTCGAGGAGCGAGCCCACTATACTAAACCTTGAGATCGTAAATAAACACAGCTCGAACACTGTCCTTTTATTCACACCTGGAAAAGGATGTAAAATGGATAGCTGAATTCACATGGCAATTATTATTTTTTTCATGTGAAAAAATAATTTGATTCGGTTGAATTTGATTTTTTAGAATAACTTGAAAGGTTTTTTTTATTGTACTTCTTACCTTCCATAATGACAACCTCGCGAATACTTGTTCTTCGCGTTTTATGCTTCGTCAGAAATGTAATAAGACCCTAATTCAACCTTTCAAACGCGGGACAATGTTGAAAGTAATGAATGGGTATTAGCAAGTCATCTAGAAAAGAGGCATAAGATTTATTTCGATACTGTTCCCCCTTCACCTTCAGCGCTTTATTTGGATCCTACACAAGGTACTTCCCAAGGACGATCAATTTGTAGCAGTTACCCAATTAGTTGTGCCGTGAAAGAAAAATATTAATTCCTTTGTTTGCCGAGACGAGGAAAAGTTGGATATTGTGATTCTCGTATGACGTCTAGAAATATAAAATGCTGAAGTGCATACTTGCAAAAGACATAAGCAAATTTTGCGCCGAGGACAGGGAATTTTGAACGCATAACTTATCTGCCACCAATCTGGATTTTATATAGTTTTCTCTTTGAGTAATTGATCTTTTTTGTAAATAAAACCTTTCAGTTAAAATAGGAGTTTCTCCTTTTATGGAAGTTCCGTCCTTCACAATGAAAAAAGAATGATTGTTTCTTGTTGGGGCACTTTAGTCCGCTGTTTCATGCAAGGTCCCCTCCTATATAGAAGTATTATTAATGAATCTTTTCCATCTTGTTCAACATTGTGCGAGATTCATTTGTCATCTTGCATCGTTGCAGATCCTTTAGTTAACCCTAAAATGTTGACTACTACGGTAATGATTTGGTGGATAGTATATGGTTCCTTCCCTACAATTTCTTGTTATAAAAATCGCTGCGCCTTTAAGGTAGGCCGAACCGTGCAATAGTAATCTTTCCACTTCCTTGTGGCAAACATGGTTTCTTTTACAACCACTTGATTTGAGCTTTCCATCAGCAGTCCGTAACAGGAGTACGCCTACCATGGAGGATACACAAAGTGTAAGGGGTTCAAGCGCAAGACTGGCTAGGCGCGCCGTGCCCTTGCTGTGTGTTAATGTTCATAACTACGGATGCACGTTGTGTGACCTTGCTGCGCCGCTTGCTGCGTGTTCATGGCTATATGCTACGCGATGCTCATAGCTGTATACGATTTTGATCTCGCCGCAATGCACCGCGTCGCGTCCGGTGTGAAGCTTCAGAGACCCCTTTTACTCGCTTCCTTTCGACGAACAATCTCGAGAAGTTTAGCGAACGAGCCGTACGCATAGTGATTTGTTCTAATGGGTCAGGAAACCAGTTCGGGATTCGTAAAAAGGAATCGTTTAAATCAAATATAACATTTGGAATGAGTTCATATGTTATACTGGAAATGAATGGTGTATCACAACTTAAAAGATCTGTGAAAGTGTACTAAAAAAAAGACGAATAACGGACAATTTAGATCCGATTAGAAGCGTTACATCTGACGAATGATTTCGGAGTTTAACGAACACGCGCATGCGCAGAGTCGTCTTCTCTTGGGGAAATCTGCGCATGCGCTAAAGCTACAAAATTGTTCGGTAGATATAATCGTGTTAATCGGGTGTGAAGTGTCCATTATTCGTCTTTTAGTACACTTTAACTGCTAATGATAGTTCCTATACACCTCCCTCAACCATTCATTTCCAATGAAAAAAATTAACTCGTTTCCCAACCTTGGACTCGATTTACAGCGTTCCTTTTGCCGAACGACTTCGTGTATTTTAACGAACGAGCGGATGCGTAATGTGGCTTCTGTTCTGAGAGTTCAGAAATCTGCGCATGCGCACGGATTTGTGAAATGTAAACTCGCAAATCTGGTCGAAAGTATCCATTATTAAATTTTAGTACACTTCCACTGATATTTATAGTAGCTCTAGCGCTTTCGAGACCATTTATTCACTGCATTAGACCAGATTCACGCGTCTTCAATTTTTTAACCAAAACATTTGGAGATGTTTAGTGAACAAGCGAATGCGCCATGTGGTTTCTGTTCTGAGGGTTGGGGAACCTGCTCATGCCCGCGAAGTCAACAAAAGGAAGCGTGCAACTCTGATCTAAACTCTATTATTCGTTTTGAGCACACCTCCACTGGTAATTATAATAGCAATACCCCATCGCTGGCCATTCCCAACGTTAGAATCAATTCACATGTTTAATTTTACCGAACGATTTCGGGAAATTCAGCGAACGATCGAATGCGCAACCTGGCATCTGTACCGAGGGTTCCGAAATCTGCGCATGCGCTTGTGTTCGTCAAAAGTTTGGTTTCTGTTCTGAGGATTCACGAACCTGCTCATACCCGCCAAGTCGTCAAAAGGAAGCATGAAACTTCGCTCTAAACTACATATTATTCGTTTTTAGCACACTTCCACAGATAATTATAATAGCAATACCCCTTCCCTAACCATACCGAATGTTAGAATCAATTCACACGCTTCTTTTTACCGAACGATTTCGGGAGTTTTAACGAACGAGCGCATGCCGAATGTGGCTTCCGTTCTAAGGATTTGCGAAAGTGCGCATGCGCTTGCAATCGTTAAACTTGAAGAGCGCCAATGGGCTCTGAGTGAGTGTGTGTGTGTGTGTGTGTGTGTCGCGCGTTGCAGGCAAGGAGGGCCGCTACCAGGTGATCCTGAAGCGCGTGGAAGTGCCCATGGTGCCGCGCGGCGAGTGCCAGGCGCGCCTGCGCAAGACGCGGCTGGGCAACTACTTCGAGCTGCACGAGACTTCGTGTGCGCCTCCGGAGTGGCCCCGGCAGGACACGTCAAGGTCGAGCCACGCTCCCCCCCCCCCCTTCGCCAAACCACACGCCTCCCAAACTCCCCGCCCCCCCGCCCGCCTCGCTCTGACTCTGCAACATGAAAAGAGTAGCTTCTGCCTTTCTCACAGGCATGTTGGATTTAGCGCCAGAAAGAAGAAAAATGGAATTGTCGATCCCACGTAAGCAATTTGTTTTATCAAGCAGAAAATTTGCATAAGTTGTTGAGGAACTAGTATGATTACTTATATTCATTGAAAATTGCAGAGTTTCGCACACGTGCGAACTAAATATCTTTACAAGGTGCAAATAATTGAAAGTGCATCCTCCACTGGGGGGGGGGAGGAGGGAAAGACGCGCCCTGAACTTAAGCCTTGAGATGAACCGCCAATGCTAGAAAAAATCTTCAAAGACGTGAACGACAAAGTTTCTTTGGAATGTTTTTGCTTTGTTACTACCAAGTAATAGAAGTTTGTCATGAAAATGAAACGTGAACTTGACAATTTGGATTTTTCGAGGTTACTTTCCCGAAGCAACTAATGCAGTAAATATTACCTCAATTTTTAACTCTGATCTGTAGTGTTGTATCTCTTGCAGTGTTAGTTTGATCTACGGATCAAAAGTTGGTTAATTTTTAATAGCTCAACCAATTAAATTTCCTCATGAGGCTACAGGTATTTTTTTTTAATTTCTTAATCTAGTGGAAATTATTACAGATAAATAGAGCTCAATACCAAATCTCTATTTGTCAGTTTTTGTAACACTGCAACATTTTTCACCCAATTTTACGAGAATGGCATTCATGCAGATAGTTTTCTGAATTAATTATTTAACAGTAATGCTTGCTAAACCCAAAGGCTCTGGATCACTCAACACATTACAAATTTGACATTTTCATTTCTCTTACGATTCAGGTTTCAAAAATAGAGCCCGGCTCTCAAGAGGAACATTTAACCTTCTCCCTCCTAATCTTGATTCTACGATCATTAGTATGATATTTCTAAACCTATTACTGTTGTGCAGTAGGTAAGGTCGTTAATACGATAATCTTAGTTACGTCAAATGATATTCATCATTACACACTGCAAATTTGACATTCCTTAGACAAGTGCTGATGTGAGCAGACCTCTATACTCAGATTAAAATATAGTGTCCCTTGAACATCACGAGCTGGAAGGAGAAGAGACGGTGTCTCCAGTTGGGAGCTTCGTTACGACTTAATTTTTTTGTATTATAGATCTCGATTGGATGACAGTGTCCCCTTCCCCAACCAGCTTGTGATCTAGAAGGGGATACAGTTTTAATTGGAGTGTAGTATCTTGCTCATTCTCACCGCTTCCCGTTCCCTCAGATACTCCTCGAATCAAATCTTTTGAACAGAATGTATAATCGTTTACTCTTTACAACTACAAACAAACATTGAAAGTGTCACTTCAAGGTTGTGAGATGGAAGAAGAGGAAATTGTCATACGATCGGAAGCTCCAATACCAAAACGTTTATATCGTACCGAAGCTCCCCATTGGATAGGTAGTCCCTCTCTCCGTTCAGCTCATGTCCTTGAAGTGCCTCATTGTTTAAATCGGAGCACAATGACCACAATGTGTGATATGTGAATTTTAATTTTTTTGCGTGAGGCAGGGTGACCAGCTCCTTGAAGTGCCACATTGTTTAAATCAGAGTATAATGACCACAATGGGTAATATGTGAATTTTAATTTTTGCGTGGTGCAGGGCGTCCAGCTCATGTGCCACAATGTTTAAATCGGATCATAATGACCACAATGTGTAATATGTGAATTGTGTGTATATATTGCGAGGCAGGGCGTCCAGCTCATGTCCTTGAAGTGCCACAATGTTTTAATCCAAGTATATTGACCACCTGTTTGTTTGTTTTCGCGTGGTGCAGGGCGACGGCGGCGGCCCGCTGGTGTGCCCCCTGGCGCACGACGCGTCGCGCTACCAGCAGGTGGGCGTGGTGGCGTGGGGCATCGGGTGCGGCGAGGACGCTCCGGCCGTCTACGCCAACGTGGCGCACGAGCGCGAGTGGATCGACCGCACCATGGCGGCCAACGACTTCGACCCCAGATACTACACCTACTGAGCCGCGGCGCTGCTTTTGTGATTTTAAACCTGTCTTCCTTTTTTTTAATACAAAGTTTTGTGTTAGTTTCGTTTCGTATTAAAACAGTTTGGCTGTAAGATGGGTTTGTTTATTTTGTGGTTGGGGAGAAGGTGGAATCGAACAGTCAGCCGCGCTACTGATGATTGTTTGAATTCTTCCGACATTTTACTGAATTCTGTAATGAGAAATAGTTACTTCCATTTTTCCAAATGGATCACTTAAATTTTCTACAGTCAGCTACAATACTAATGATGATTTCAATTCTTCCGTCATTTTACTGAATTCCGTAATGAGCAATAGTTTCTTCCATTTTTCAAAATGGTTCGCTTAAATTTGTTACAAATGTTTTCACTTTTTCCTGGACATTGAAACGCTTACTTTGTTCTGTTGACCTCTCATCCTGCATAAAATGCACATTCTCTCCATTGTCCCAAGTTTATTTTGGATATTCATATGAAATTATCAGGGTTTTTCTAGCATTGTAGGCACCGAAAACTTCATTTTTTGTTGGTCATCGAAATAAAACTGAGGTTCCAGGTTTCCTTCCAACAAGTGTGTGGATTGTATTCCGTTTCAGGCAGCTCGTTAAGAGTTGCTTAAGGAGTAAATGACGTTGGATAAAATAAGAGATTAAATTCTGAATATTTGACAATTAGATAACGGAAATCACCTTTATAAAACAATGTTCGCAATTGCTACACCAAATACACTAAATTAGTACCGTTTTTACAGATCTTGAAGCAATAAAACAAAAAAATATAATTTCCTCCTAAAATCTTGGTTAATACTGTTCTTTATCTTCGAATGTATTTGTTCACACTACTTCTTGAATATCGAACACAGGTATGCGCGGCCTACAACAAGGAGATTGGCAACTTTCCTGGGCCCCTCTGGGCTCACTTTTGTATTCCACCATCTCTCAAATTTGTATTTACATATGACACATATTTATATAGGAAATATACTACAGGGATAATGAAATTCGAACTTTAGTGATACAATAACAATAAATACAATTTGTTTCATATTGAAAAATTTACTGGGTTAACAGGAGGTTTGGAGACATTTTGCGAAATTTTCTGGGGTGGGTAGGGATCGATTCCTCTGAAGTGTGCAAGGTCATGCTGTACGCCATTTCAGGACTTCATTCAAAAATCACTTGGCCTACGAGAGCATTAGGCAAGAACAAAGTTAATATTACCAACACAAATTGAAGTGTAAAACAAGTTGCTAGCAAAAGTTGGAATTTAAGGAAAGCTTATATATACCATATAGAGAGTATATTTTGATTCTCTTGAGTTGTAACAGAAGATAAATGCTGTGCTGCATAAAATAAGTGCTTTTTTTATCATAGATATTACTAAAATAGTATAAAGTTTCCAAGAGTTTGGTAAGAAGCTTATATACATTATGAAACATCCCTAGATTTTATGAAATAAATAATAAACAAATTTCCAAGCAGGTAGAAAACACTAAAGGTGCTCTAAACATGGGGAATACTTCAGGTTATTATTTTACTCTTGTTAAATCTTTTCAATTCTTACACGGAAGTTAACAATCCTGGAAACCCCGAAACCATTTCGCAATTTACTTTATTTCAGACAGAGATGCCTTGCAAGTTCGTCTTGATAAGGGACGCAAATTCATCGCTTTTATGTTTATGGTTAGCACCCATGGGGTAATGTCCTTCATTAGTTGATCTTAAAGTTAAATTATTTTCAGTATTTTTTTCAGTGTTCTTAAAATTTCATGAATAAGTTGCATCAGATTCACTTTTAGAGGGCGCCCTTGTGATCGGCAATTGAAAGTAATGAATGTTAAATGCGAGAATCGATCTTTATCTCGCAATAGCTCTTCCCAACGCACTGAGCGCCGTGCGGGTTAATAGAGCAACAGAATTGTCAGTCCGCTCTCACCAGCGCTGGTGCCTGAGTAACGCTCTGAGAGCCGAGGTTGTGCTGCGCTGATCCTTTTGAAGTCACGTCGGCCTTTACTACACCTGGATGGGGGCAGGTAAGGTTAGTAAGCAAAAGTTTTCTTAGTGTATTGTTTCAAAATTATACTGCGGTTTACAGTTGATTTTCAGATGTGCATCCACTGTCATTTTCTTCGTGGAAGCAAACTTGGTAACGTGTCCGCATTGATGTACTTTTACGAACATGCATATTGATTTACGTTTATGAAATAATTTTATCTGAGCAGAACAAGATACTTGTAACAAGTCAGTACAAGGCATTACTTAACCGACTAGGCTTCCTATTAATTTCCGGAAATCTGGATTAACTGTTTCTATTTATCAACGAAAATCTACGCTTATAAAAAATTTTCCCTATGTTTGTACTTCTTAGAGAGTTACTTTTTATGAACCCAGAATAGTGACGGCCATTTTACTGATATTCGTAAATATTAATGAGCATCAATTGTTAGTGTAAATTACGCTATTTAGACTTAATTTATTCTGCAACATACTGTTTCCTGATGAAATGAGGTTAAGGTAACACATCTTCTGAATCTGAGCGAACCCAAGGGATATATTTACATGGCATGATAGACGTTTCAAGCATTTCAAGAAATCCTTCATTTCGACTTTCAATATTGTTTGCTGTGACCTCCTACATCTAGTAAGTACCTCCGCCTGTTTCGTTTAACAGCCTTGAGCCTGTTGCAACTGTTAAAAGTGCAACTCAAGATTATTAGAAGTGTGTAACGCTCAGGAATCAGAGGGTAGAAGAATGACCAATTTTAAATGTGGTTTAGAAAATGAGCTTTATGAAAACCTTTAAAAAATTCAAGAAAATCAAGGTTAGTTTGTACAAAACTTTTGCTTGAACTCTTACTATTTGTTTTTTAACAAACAACGAATTGATGCATGTAGTTCTAAATACTAAAATGAAACTTTGACGTGATCAACACAAATTTAGAACATCTATTTTTAATTTTAAAAATAAACGAGATGGAAGTTGGCGCACAAGGGTGATTAGATAGATCAATGTATGAAGAAAACTGACCTCAAAATTGCATTCAATATCTGTACCTCACTTCGCTGCAGTACAATTTTCAGAACACCGTACAAAATACTAGTTGTTATTGATTTGATACTGTGGATGCATGTGGAAAAAGTGCATGGGATAGCCATCACCGCCTCAAAGAAAAAATAAAACTGAGAGGACTTGAAAGGAGTGCGATCTAAATTTGAAGAATAAAAACAGCATTTTGTAAAGCATATCTACTAAGGAATTTAAATACAAAATTTGGAATTTAAAATAATATAAAAGATTTTGTGGGCCAAAAGGCAAGGAAAATGTTTATAAAATCACATCAGTTAATTTTGTGCATTCGCTTCAAGTACTTTCCTAAACATATCCAGCAATATTTTTCACAAGTTGGAATGACGAACATATTGCCTTGACGACATTTAAATTTTAACTTCATCGTACAGCCAATGAGAATTTATTGTTAAGGAATAAGTCACTAAATTTTCGTCAAAAATGAGTATTCATTTACTTTTTTGGCTGAGAATGTCCCATGCTATGTTATGGAATAAATTTCCATGTTTTTCGAATTTTTACGTAACTTCTTTCCACTCTAAATAATTGGATAAAATGGAAGAAACGACTGTCAGTAGATATTTCTTAACATTGATGACAAAAATGTACAATTTATACATAAAATTAAGATAATTTCGAAATTATTCCGAACCGACTTCACAATGGGTTTTTTAGTATCATAAGATGTATCTCCAGTCCAGGAGAGAGAGTAAGTTTCAAATATTTGGAAGCTAGCTATCCCTTTGTATTAATTCCATAATATCTTGCCAGCTCTTTTCTTATTTGGAAGCTTTACTAACACGTTCGAAGCCCGTTTGTAGAATCAAAGGAATTGCTTAAGACTTAGTTGAAAGAGAAAGCTCCTCTTCTACAAAGAGATTACTGTTATGCAGTCTGCGGAGCAGCGAGTGCTTTTGGTTTCTCATTTGCTGACCACAGAGGTCACGCTGCGTGGCGGCAGTCCTGTGTACTAACGTTCCAAGGCCAAGGTGGAGACGCGAAAGCACGCTCGAGGCAGTCGCAACGTCATGCCGACGTCATTCCGACAATTACAGCAAAGAAACTAAAGCGAACAAGTAGCTAATGGCAGAGTGCGAGTGGAAATTGCTTCAGCAAATACATTGTGCTGCTGCAAAAAGCGTGATTTATTTATTCCTGCACCACGTAGGGTGTGTTTAACACAGAGTATGATTTGGATACTTTGCGAAATTATGGTAAAATATTATACCACTACCTGAATGTGGCGTCGCTGACGCTGTAAACTGTTTTAAAAACATTTTTGTCTGTGAAAAAAATGTCTACTATGTTAGTTCTAAGTAAAAAGAAACTTTAAACATACATTTGTCCGAATCCTCCGGTGAATTCGTAACTAATCTAATAAAAATTAAAATTAAGAAATGAAAAAATGCCAAAAAATGTGTAGTTTCAAGTATTCATATCTGATATTCTTTTGAACTATGGACATTTTTTGTTGGAAACAGAATTGTGTTGGAAAACCAATGCAAACGCTCCCAGAAGAGTTGATCTGAAAATTCCATACTTTCAATGTATGATCAGGCGACTTATTCAAGAAAATTTACATATTTGCAACCTCCTGTTCAACAACATATCGTTCCATTCATATAGATTAAAATATAATTTTGTTGAAATGATCTTTTTAAAATGGTTCATCCCATTAGCATCATTGAATGCACATACAACAAAATTATTCTGCAAAATGATTATTATCGTACGGGTTGACAAAGCTGACGAAAGTTTTGCTTCAGAATGATGCAAGCCCTTTTCCGTATTCAGTAAACAGCAGCGTCCGGGCGATACAATCTCTAGCCATCGCCTGAATGCCGTGAGCCGCGTCATTGGCGCCCCATTTACCATTTAATGTGAATCACAGAGGCTCATGGCGTCGACCGAGGCGATGGCATTGGGGAACGCAGTTAACTCGCTCATCGCTAGGTCAAAAAAGAATGTAAAAATTGTAGTGCTACAGATTGGCACAGACACTCCTGTTTGAGTTTTCTATTTATTTTGGTCTTGGCTAGTTATTTGAACATGCCACAGTCTCTTGCCTGCTGCGTTTTTTGCACGTACATTTTTTTAATTTTTAAAAAAATTTCTGTTTCCTAATAGTAGAACGGAAATACTGTTTTAAGAATACTAAAGAACAGTAAAACCTCGTCCTAAATGGCAATTTGAAACTGTTTTTAAGAAAATTACGATTAAGCGATAAAGCATGTTCGGAATTTGAAGCAGTTAATAACGAGTATGTAAATGTTTATTAAACAGATAATGTTTGAGTTTCGGAAAAACTTCATTAGAAGTCATTTTAAGCAGTTTAAATCACAAATACAATAGTGTTTATAAACTGCTGGGAATGTGTAAATTATACTAAATTAGATTAGTGTAATTTTTGAAAAAACAAAAAATAATCTAAAATGAACTTAACGTCATATTATTGAGTGCAATTAACTTCCTTTCGAAAAGTTTGAAGAAAAAAATGGAGCCGTTTTAGAGAAAATGGCGTTTAAGCGTTTCTAAAAATGCGATTTTTTAGCTAGTTTTCACAGAAAATGGTAGAGTTTTACAAGTTATAAAATGAATTCTTTGTAATTTTTGAAAAAAACTAAATTTGGAGTCATTTTTGAGAAAATCGTGTTTTTGGATTTCTTAAAACCGCAAACAAAGTAAATTACTCTAATAAAAGAATAAATTATGGACAACAAATTTAATTTCAAGGAAAAAGCTCTCTCTTCAATTTTGTAGTTGTAGGAAGACACCGAAAAAATTCATACTTTTGAAGTTTTCGAAAATTCAGAGTTAACCGTGCAAATTTGTCACTTAAATGAATATGTTACTCCATTCTTACAAGTAATTTGAAGAAAAAAATTTCGCCGGTTTCGAGAAAATTTTGAAAATGTCCGGAGGGCTTCATGTAAATTACCTTTTAAAGTGTGTGTTCTAAATTCTCAGAGATTCGACTCGAGCCAGATGGACAGGGGTTTCTTCAATTTGAAGAAAAAAAAAGAAAAAAAAAAACCTACGCATGTAGGTAGTAGTGTTCACAGACGAACAGAAGGATGTTTTGAAAAGAACCACTTTTTCGGTATAAGGGGACCCCAAAACGTGTATTTCCGTTGAAATCTGGAAATCGATTTTCCTCAGCATTACATAACTTTCCATACACTACGTCTATTACTCTGTATATACGTATGTATACGAGAAATTAAGACATTTTTTGAAGAAATTTCATAGAATTGTCTGGATGTATTCGACAACAAATCATAATTTCGTTACTAGGATATCGACACGCGTCGAATGACACTTCATTTGTCTCCGTTAAGTGGAGGGGAAGGAGTCTAACTGTGAGACGGACGCAGGTTACTTGAATACTGCATAGGATTTGGTCAATGTAATACTATGTATGGCTGCAGTAATTTTTTCCCTAGATATAGAAATTACATTTTTAAAATGTAAAATAGCATTGAGTAAACAATTATGTTCAAATCAGTTTTCAAATACAGCTATCATAAGTCAATAATTCGTCAGTTTTGAGGTTACGAATTTGTATTTGTGAAATTAAGTTTCCAAATATTTAACGCATCGCATCTGATTCTGAGGT